CAAATATTTGTTTACAAATATTCATAATAGAATTATTCACATTCACCCAAAGATGAATCCACGAGTACGACGCTGCCGTGAAGGACAAGCTTGAGGTATTTGTAGGTAAATGGGTGTACCTCGAGACCGTAATGTTAGATGCACTAAATCGAACACACAGGTTTAAATATCACATAGTTTCTCTTATATGACACCCAAAATATAAATCAAAAGTAGAGTGAAGGATAGACGATAGGAAGTGGGAGTTCTTTTTCAAATGGGAAGGAGAACAAGAGATGGAAGGAAGGGTGAAAAGAAGAGAAAAAGGATTTTTAAAAAAGAGAAAGAAGAAAACGGAAATAGAGCTTTTTCAAATGGGAAGGGGCTTAAGAGTTGGAAGGAGCAGGAACAGATGGGAAGGGAAAGGAAGAAAGGAATTAAGATGTGTTATGTACATGTACACACCATGATAAATGTAATCACTGTATACTTCAAATATGTACTAATAAGAATACATTAATAAAATTTTTAAAAATAGGTGAATTGATAAACCACCTATACACGTAATGGGTATTAACCAGCAATAGAAAGGAATGAAGCACTGACTTGTGCTGCAAGGTGGACGAAAGCCCAAAGCTTTGAGGTAAGGGTTGGAACCAGACACGGGTCACATACTTTACACTTCCATTCTGTGACATATCCTTAATAGTAAACCCATAGAGACAAGTAGCACACTGGGGGAGGGAGAGAAGAGTGTGGGTGGGGTTGAGAATACCATGTGCAGTTATTGTTGAATGGGGCATAGGGTTTTCCTTGGGGCGGTGCAAATATTTTGGAACTAGAGGTGATGGGTGCATAATGCTGTGAATGTTCTAAATGCCACAGAGCTGTTTACTTTAACATGGCTCCTGTTGGTCTGGGGATGTAGATCTGTAGTAGAATGCTTGCCTGAGGTGCCTATGGATCTGAGTTCCAGCCATAGCTTGGGGAGGGTGGCTAGTTTCATGTTGCAGATTACCACTTCACTTTACACCAGCTAACATAGAAGTTCTTCCTGTTGTCTACAAGTCTCTATGAAAGGATTAAGAATAAAGGCACAAGCAAACCAGAGCCGTATGCTACCTTTCACGTTTACTTTCCTCATTTCTTGTAGTTGTTCAGAGTTTGTTACACCAGGCCTGGCCCTGGCCACGAACTGCTCCTTGTCAAAAATGGCCCAGAAAGAGTGGGCCCCTTTGACCTTTAAGAGAAATTCCTTGGTGACTGTGTGTCTGCCCAGAATATACTGCCCCTTTGTGAGCCCTCTGTGGCCTGGTTGTAGCAGGGCAGGCAGTGGAGTGGGGAAAGGGCAAACCTGAATACCCAGAGGAAGGTTCTGGCTCCAGTAACCCCGGATAGAATCTCAGCTTCTTTGAGCCTTGCCATAGGGCCCTGTGGCATTTGCCCTGAAGTTGATATTCAAAATTCTACACTTTGCCTGTACTAAGGGAATTTAACAGCAGGCCACAGCTTGGATTTCTCCTCCCTATGACATTTCTCACAGTTTGTAGCAGAGACAAAACTTAAAAGAAGACATGAATCTGTCCATCAGTTTGTTGAGTATTGACTGTTTAAGTACACGGAGACTTTTCTGATAGAGGAAGATGCCCCTGAAGAGCTCAAAACTTTATAGGAGAGTGTAGTATGGTTAGAAAAGTAGAGTGAAAATTTCAGATCTCTTCCTATTGTCTGAGAGGGGAGCCTGAAACTCAGTGTGGTTGAATGTGAACAAGGGTCACAAGGTGGAGTGAGTTGGGTTCTTGAAGAGCAAAGGAAGCTTATGCTGAGTGTGCAGAAGTTTAGCTCCCTGCCGTTGCCACCCAGGGAGAAGTGTCACACCACCACACTTCTCTAATGGGTACAGTGGGTGTCACCAGCAGGTACCTCTGTAGAAGAAAGATTTGTGATATTTCATTTGTCCACTAATCTACCCCCACGGTAGGTACAGTTCTGAAGCCAGACCACAGCACTACTGAGGTAGGAGATTAGGGTTCTGGCAAACTGGACAACTGTGTGGAATGTGTCAGTCATCATAAAATCCCAGAGGACATATACAGAGCACAAGACCCAAAATGATTCCGCAGCGCCCGAACACTGTTGTGCCAATTGGAAAGCAGTATTTTCAATCCCTAATTTGAATCTGACGCTGTTTGCAGACCACTCAGAAAAGTGCTATTTTCAATCCATTTACAGCTTGTAGGAAGCCAATGGAGTCTTTCCATAATGCTATCAGGTTTTAGGGTGCTGGAGTATCCTTCTGGAGGTGGTGTCTAGGTTCCTTCTGTCCTGAGCAAAAAAAAAAAAAAAAAAAAAAAAAAAAAGATCAAAACAAGCACAAACAGTAGCAAAGTTTTATTAAAGGTAGAAAAAGAAACAGGCTCGAGGGAGCACATTTGGGGCAAATAAAAAGTAAAAGAAGGAAAAGAAGTACACTCCATAGTATGAGGGCAGGCATATGGAAGAGAGAACACTGTGGCAAAAATTCAGCGTGGACTGTCTTTTTTGTGTCACACACTCCTCAGGCTGACATCAGGCCTGAGCCATACTATGGAAAACTTGCTCAAATCTCATGAGAAATCCAAGTGCAGGGCTTTGGGAACTGCTCTGCTCATGTGTCCTGGGATTTTGTAACTAACAACTCACCCCTTATTTTCCAGGTGGTTTTGCCATGCCCTAACCTACCTCAACATGACCACCTTGTTCTTAACTTGTGCTACTGAGCTACAGTTACAGAGAATACGGTTGGGATACTAGCAAATCAAGGAGAAAACTTCCATTTTAAAGGGTATAAGTTTTGATTTTGAGACAAGTGTTCACTAATCTACTCAGGCAGGGCTCAAACTTACTATTCTCCCGCCTCAGCCTCCTGAGTAGCTGGTGTTACAGGCATGCATTATCACACCCAGCTAATATAAACAATATTAATTAATCACATATATCCTAATTACCTCTACTCTCCATCCAAATATGGGCACTTAATTAAAATAGGCTTAGGTAAAGTTTTCAAAGTGAAATTCAAAAGACATTCCTGCAAATCACCATACTAATAAATTTTCAACCAGCCTCTGGTTTATACCAGTCACATCTGTAGCTATAAGCTATTAAGGGGGAGTGAGGGCAGATTCACATGTAACACAGATTAGAAAAAGGGTAAAGCACCTGAGTAAGTAGTCAGCCTACCTACAAGTCAAGGACTGTTAAAAAAAATCACTCTCGATCAGATCCAAATTTCTCATCAGTACATCACTTGAATGGAACTTTAGAATCTTAAAAATAGTATTGCACACTGTGCTGAGGGCCATATATACATGACTTCCTCAGTCTTAGGTCTCTGTCCAGCCTTGTGTAGAGACATAGCGTGCATTAGAATTATAGAACAGGATTGGAAGAGAAAGAGGAGAAGTGGACTTCATTGTCCATATATTATAAAGCAGGCATGTGAAGACCTGTAGATTTAAACCTATCCAAGAGTTATTTTCAAAGGGTAGGCACACAGGTCAGCAAATTTCACCTCTAATAGTCTTCCATGTTGTCCTATCTCAGTTAACACAGAAAGGCTATGCTCCTGCCCACTACGGGAGTCAATAGTGGACAAACCATTCAGTATTGTACCAATCCTGATAAGAGCAGAGCCATGCTCCTCCACTGATGCCCGAAGTACAAGGACAGGAATGGCCTGAGTCATTCACAACATGACATTCTCTGTTTTTCCAGACTTCTTCTATCCCATTATTTGTCTTAGGCTGCGCGACAGGAAATGCTGCTCAGTTTGCTGAAGAGGCAACCACTTTAGCCAAGTTAATGGCATCTCAGATTACATACTGCAGCCAGAGCTTTGCAACAGATCAAGGCTCCAGAGTGGGATCTCCTTTCAATGTGAAGGACTTGGGGATTTGCCCTTGTTTCTTCGGGGCGATATCCTAGTGAGAAGTTCATTTCTTCCTCCTGCACCTCTTTCTCCTCAAAGCATTCTACCGTTACGTGGAGCACTGATCGCCCTGTGCAGCATTGCTGAACACGCCGGGGGCACTAAGCATGTCTTCTGAACTGACCCCGACAGAAGAGACTAACAACAAACACTTTGGGTCTGTGATAAGCTCACTGGCACAACCATTTGAACTGGGCATGACTCATGAGAGAGAACCTTTTTGGGTAGCTGTGTTTCTAGTAGTTTGACAGCTATGTCTGGAGTTCCCAGTGTGGCAGGGGTGGAGGTGGAGAGATCTGCAGGCCATGGGAGAGTGGCAGTCAGCACTACTTGCTAAAGAGATACAGCACCATGAGCTTTGTGTCTTCAAGGACAGGGAGTTGGCTGGACACAAGTCTTCACTGCCCTGAATACACTCAGAGGCTGCCTGCCCAGAGAAAAAAGAAAAGTTAGGAAACAGGAGGAACCAGTAAAAGAACAGTGATGGGTGATATAGAGACAGAAATTAAAAAGCAGACACTTGTATTAGTTAAGAATTAAGAAACTCCTACCCTATCACCCACATAGTTCTACATGTTGGTTGATGGTCACAGAGCAAGGAAAGAGTGAAAGGGCACAACACTGGGGAGAAGTCTGGGTTTTACTCAATCCACCCAATGGTTGCGACAAAGAAAATAACCTAGAATCAAATTTCTTTCATTGTGACATATAAAAATGTACTCTGTAACTTCTGACTTCCTGGATGTGTTCTCAGAGCTTACCTGTTGGAATGCTATCCCTTAGGAGCTGCTTACAGACACTACCTCTAAACTTCTCCACATCTTGGCCTGCTGTGGGATGAATCAGCAAGCCATCTAATTCTACCTCTACTTCAAGTTTCTTCACTATATCTCATTCAGAGCTAAATATCCCAAAAGTTTTTCAAGATCCAGGCAAACTATATATGTGATGCGTGTTCTGGCTGACCCAGTTCTGACTTCTGAAATGCTTCTTGTTAGGGAGTTTGGAAGTTTGAAACGTGACAGCCATTTTCATACTATGAGGGGAGCTACCACTGTCCTGAAAATGGCTGAGCAGGACGAAGAAAGAAGCTAGATGAGCTGCTCACCCTGTAGTTCAGGCTGGCTTTGAACTCAGCAGTCTTCCTACCTCAGTCAGGAGAGCAAGGAAACATGCTGTGTGGAGGGGCACGTGTCTCCGCTAGGTAGGCAAGTGAGTGTGTGGTCACAAGAAAGAGCTTCCTCATGCGTCATCCCGTTCAACACTCTTCTTAGTTATGGATCATATTATGCATGCCACATTCTCCATTCATAATTTATGTACTTTGTAGGTGTTGTGCCAAATAAGTTATTTTGAGCTGGGCATGGTGGTGTACACCTGTAATCCCAGCACTCCGAAGGCTGAGGCAGGAGGATTGTTACAAGTTCGAGACCAGCCGGGGCTACAAAGCAAGTCCAAGGCCAGTCTGAACTGCACAGCAAGACTCTGTCTCAAAAGGACAAAAAAAAAAAAAGCTATTTTTCCCTTCATCTAGCAAATCATGGGCTGCTATATTTAACAGACAGGTTCCCAGAAAATTTTCTAACATCTCTAGCTTGAGCTACCTACTTTGACCTCAGGACATGTCAAAGAAAGAGTTATCTAGGTGAAAGCCTTTACTTTTGGACTCCAGAAATGTTTCTAGGGTTTGAAAGGTGGACACCAACCTATGGGTGACCAATTGCTTGCCTGGAAGGCAGTGAAGGAGAGGAGAAAGGTGATAAGAACATAACAGAGAAAAGGCCAGTGGGATTAGAAGAGAATATCAGCTTGGCATCAAAAAGGAGAAGCATTGCTTTTCAATAGTTGTGCAATACTTGTGAACTTTACAAGAATGCTATACTGGATTGGGCCAATGTCATCATCTGTAGCATATTGGTAGTATTGTTCAGTAGTTAATCAACACACTAAACTTTTGTCCAGCTGGCATTTTGGAATAGGAAACCAGATTACTCAAAGCTCAGCCACTCTTGTAGCTTCCATCTCCAGATCTTTTCATCTTGGCCAAAATTGCAGCCTTGGATACTTTCTTCCGGTCATAAGCCAAACTGAGAGCAGCCATACAATCGATGAAGAATGTGGTAAAGTTGATGTGCCAGCGGTACTCACTGGCAGAGTAGTCATAAGGGAAGGAGTGGTGGTAGTTGTGGAAGCCCTCACCTGGAACAAAAGGAGAGAAGTGATGGAGCTCAGTAGACTGTCTTCCTCAGATCTCCACACCTCGAACTTAGCAGGGTACCTCAAATCTTTCAGAAACCTGCTGTTGTTGAATGAATGGATATTGAATAAATGGGTGAACCCAGTATCTTAGACTCTGAAGCAAACAGATGCTCTCGGAGGTAATTTAAGCAATGAGTCAAGAGGCCCTGGTCATCGCCCATGGCTGTCAGGAGTCTTTGTGGGAAGAAATTTTCTTTCAGAGGAAAAGAAGACAAGAGAAAACCTGCTACTGGCAAAGGACTTTATACTCAAAAAATGCCACAGCTTTAGTAAATTCCAAACTAGGACTCCACTGGCTCTGTGCATATGTGCATATGCTGGGTAGGGATGGCAGAGAAACGTCCAGAGGAAGAACTGTGGCTGTGCTCCTTATAAAGGTGAGTAAGCAGCACACCCTCCCCCACTGCACTGGTACTCTCTGTGAGGATGAACAGTTCCCAACAAATGGGCAGCAGCAGGCAAAAGTCAAAGGAAAGAAGGCCCAGAGAAGGGCTGGCATTTCCTCAGCCACTTCCAGTGCACCCTGGGCTGCTCTGGCTGCAAAGTCTCTGAACTTTGACCCTGGAGTGGGGGAGGTGATAAGCAGAACTACTCTGAGAATGCTTAGAGATTCCCTCTTACATCTGAGATTCTGAGAACTATTGGGATGGGCATTTCACTTTGACAGAAAGGAAAATAAGTTTATTCTGGATCTAGGACAATTTCTATAATGGATAAATGTTTGGAGACTCCACAGGAAGTCTACCAACTCTTAGCAGGACTCTCCCTTACAAAGGCTTCCAGCACCAACAACACTGGCCCTTAGTGGATAAGGTAAAGAACAACAAATAAGAGAAATTTTTAGACCTGTGAGAATAAAAATACCCCAGATAGAGTAGCAACAATATGAATAACAACGAAGTGAAGAAAGTTGTAGCAGGGAAACAACTCCAGCGGAGGCTTCTCTCAGCAGGTACCTTCTCTGTGCACCTGGTTGTCCAGAGTATGAACTGTGTGGGAGGGTAGGATCATGCCAAGTCTAAGATGATGACAGAGAATTGCTAACTTCCACAGGATTTCATAGCTACCTTCTGAGTGAGTGCTCACAGGCCTACAGGTGTGAGATTTAAATGGAATCAGAAATACATAGAGACAAGGAAAGAAAGGGGAGAAGATCCATGGGGTTGCAAGGAGGGCAGCAAGAGACAGCCCAAGGAAGACTGAAGAGAAGGTCAGCAGTGTCAGAGAAGATGAGCATAGGACTGTGCTGGAGGCAATTCAGGATCAAAGAGAAGGCAGAGACAGCTAGAAAGCAAAGAGTGAAGTGAGAGGGAGGAATGAGCAGGTTTGGAGACATGAATGGCAACAGGGATAGAATAAGAGACTGAGAGTCACTTTGAACTGTCAATCATTAAGAGATGTCTCAGTCCAGATTACTCCATTTCTATGAAAACCTCAGAATTATAGGATAGAAATGATTCACTTCACACATGGGTCAAGTTCGGAATATACACAATGGTAGGAAGTGCCAGAAAAGAGGCAGGGGATTCATGAAACTACAACAGAGAGATAGAAAATACTTTCAGAATGGCATACTTGACATTTATGAAACTACATTGTAGTTATTTTTTCTATATTTTATACAGTATGGTTAATTATAAAACAGTAGGCTGACTGTCCTCCTCATTGTGACCCTACCTCTCCATTCACACACAGGTATCTTCTGTCCCAAGCAAAACTGTGGCCCAGACCAGAAAAGCATGGAGAAAGGAAAATGCAGGAGAGTTCAGTATACAAAGTATTTGGAGATGGATTTAGAATCTGAACCAAAGACAGTATCATTTTTTTACACTCTTTTTTTTTTTTTTAACTTAGATCACTGTCTGCCTCTCATGAGGCTTTCCTAAATAGTGTCTCCTAGTTCTATAATGGAAAAAAAGGTACAAAGGAGTCATAAAAACAGACGTGTTTCTGGCTCCTAGTGGATCACACTAACCAAAACACCACTAGATGTGTTCTTACTGTAGACTGCTTACTTACCCATAGTTCCTAGTGAAACCAGGGGACTCTCTCGGGGGTTAATGTTCTTGTCATATGGGCGATAGCCATACAGATGGGCAACACTGTTCACCAGCCAGGTAACATTGAGCACGAGGACATACCGCAGCAAAGTGGCAACATAGAAGCTGTGTAGAAAAGTTTCTCCCCAGCAATACCAGGGGATAAGTGTGGGCAGGATGAAACATAGCAACAGGAGAGCAGGCTTGTAGTACCTGTATGGAGAGATCATACAGAGTCCCTGGAGAGAACATTCACATCTGCCTGTATTGTCCACTGTCACTGGGCTGGGCTGTGTCTGTCCTAGGCTGTGAGTATGGAGGTGGGGGGACAACCAAGAGGAAATGGAGTGGGAAATCTTTTGAGTGTGTAGTATTGGCATGTCACTTTTCCGATGATGCAGTACAGACACATTAACTGATTTTCCTAGAGTCACACAACCAGTAACCAGTGGAGCAACACCATCTCCTGGCTTGAATTCCATTGTTCTTTTCCATGAACACAGAGGCTGTGTTCTTCAAACAGGTCAGGGTCAAATCATAAACTCATAGCTTGGGTTCAGCTGCCTGTGCTCTTGTCTGTCTGTCTTCAGGCTCCTTTCCTTTAATATCATCTCTTTGGCACAATGTGTAGTAATTGTCATGCCTCAACTTCTTGCTGCCACCCCCTAGTGTTTGCATTGTTCTGCTTTACGCTCAGGTGGCACACTAATCCCTGGAGGTGCCCTTGATCACCTCAGGTAACTGTCTCTCCAGAGGCTCTATCCTCCTCATGACTCTCACATAAATCAGACCATTGACATTCCAAGGGAGTGGAGGACTTGCGTCCCTTTAGCAATCACATCTTTGACTTTTATGTCATTAATATTCCCTGCATCCAACTCCTTTGTGTTCCAGCCACTGCTTTCCTAGCCTGGGTCCTCCCTGCTTCCTCCCTTGTGTCCTTGCCTCTTCTCTCTGGCTCCTTTTTCCTTCCCTGTGATGAGTGGCCTCTGTATCACATCTGTGACTGTGCACATTGCTGCTCAAGAAGCCTTCAAAGGTTCCTTCTCACAAAATGAATCAAATCCTAGCCTGCGACCAGGACTCTACATGATGCCCTCAGTCTTTCTTGCAGTCCTTTATCCTGCCAAACTCTATACTTGAGCAGAAAGACTATGTTTCTGAAATCTGCCTGAGGCTTTAGTTCATCCTGATTTTTCTGTCTCGTGGTTTCTATTCAGGCAAACTTGTGAAACTCTGTATCCATGAATGGGTACTTAGTTCAAAACATTTTCTTGGGGCTGGAAATATAGCTCAGTGGTACAGCGCCTGCCTGGCAAGCACAAGGTCCTGAGTTTGATGCCAAAAACAAAAAAACAAAAACCAAAAACACTTTCTAGTGTTCCTCACTGAGCAATTTTCCACTTTTCTGTATATCTCACAGTACAGGAAATTTTCTTCATTGTATTATGGTCTTTGGGTGTTTCACATATTCTTCCACCCTCTAATAGCCTGCAAATACTTTGAAGGGAAGGACTCAGCTACATTCATTAATGTGTGTCTATCACAAGTCAATGAACATTTATTGCATTTGATGGGCTTCATTAAAATAATTTAAAGAGAAAGTAACTGGGTAATAAAGAAGGATTGTGGACCTTCAGGAAATTAATAAAAAAGACCACATCTAGTGGGTCAAAATGATGACTTTGAATGTGCAAACCCAAGAAATCACCAGCTTCTATTTTATAAGTCCTAATTGAAAAAGTGAGGTCCCCAAATCCAGGTACCCAGAGCCACATCCCCATCTCCATCCTGCCTTCACTCACCTCCTCTGGAACATCACCAGTTTCTCAGCTTTTAGATCAGACATGTCGAGCAACCTCCCCTTCTCTTTGACGGCTGGGTGTTTGCGCACAAGCAGCCAGCCCACGTGAGAGAAGAAAAAGCCACGTCGGGAATTGTGAGGGTCAGCGTGTGTTTCTGAGAACTTGTGGTGGGCACGATGGTCTCGGGCCCATTCATACACGTCATTCTGGAGAAGAGAGAAAGGGAATGTAGGTCTAAAGAGAGATATCCTCTTGGGAGAAGTCAATGCCTGGATGTCTCCAAGGGCCCAGGACTCTCAGATCACACTCACAAAGTCCTCAGGATTCTGGCCCCAGTGAAGGGATGGAGAAGCTGCCCTCTTCTGCACACTTGCCCCCAACACTTATGTGGAAAAGCCCCTTATAGACCCAACCCACAAGAATAGCACTGCTGCTTCCTAAAGGGTATATGTGAATGGAGGTAGCTCCCAGCACTCAGACTATTTAATTAGGAAAAAAAAAAAAACAGGCCTTCAAAGAATGTGGGACAGAGTCTCAAAAGGGCGCCTAACGCTCAGGCACAGACTGTGTCAGGGGGCCTTGCATCTTAGTGTGCTAGAGTATGGGTAAAGCTGCAGTGGGCACAATCCTGATGCCACCCCAAGCGACGGCTTACCCAGCCCAGTAACAAGGCCTCACGTAACCCGTGACCATGATCACATTTCCAGAAGACCACAGGGCTTCTCTGGGACTCTTTCCATTCATTGAAAAATGTACCACTATATTTCTTCCTACCACTTGCCCCCCAAAAAAATAACATCACAAGCTTCCAACTGAACGTTGCTAGGGCAGAAATGATTATGCAAAGGTAGTAAGCACTTCAGTATCATCAAAACAAGGAACACTTATTTGGTTTGATGTTTTCTTCTTCTCCCTTCACTGTATTCTGTCACAGACTTAGTTAACATGGCAGCCCCAGACAGAACCACAGGTTGATCTATCCAACCTTTCAGTGACTCAGTTTCCTCATTTGTAAAATGTAAAATAGCACCTATCAGCTAAGATAGTGTGAAGACATAATGAGTTAATCTATGAGAAGTGTTTAGCACACTGCCAGCACAGCTGGTGCTATTGAAGTGTTTGCTCATATTATCTGACACAACACAGCTCATGAGTTTGTGACACATCACCTTCTATCCCATTGTGCTGGGGTTCTATAGCTGTCACTGTAAAGTGTGGGTTTAATACTTTTTGATTGCTCAGGACCCTAACTTTGTACCATGGTCCTTTATGGCAAAAGATCATAGCAGTTACACTTGGTCGTAGCAAAGGGACCTTGGAAGCAGAAGTAACCCTATACCAGAACAGTTTGTCCCGTTCATCTCCTATTTGCTGTCCTGGAGACTGAAGATCCCCAGGTTTGGTGGACCTCACCACTGAGCCTGCACTTGAAGTGACAACAGAAGATTAGACTGGGCAATGGTCATGCTGCTGGGAGTCCTAACTAGGTATTGATCCCTTCCTTTTCACCTGGAAACATCAACAGGTTGGAGGCTGTAGAGCCGAGCAGTACCAGCTTCTTACCTGGAACGCCATCGTGTTGGCGATGATCAGGAAGATCTTCAGAGGCAGCCGCGCTTTGTAAGTTCGGTGGCTCCACAGGCGATGAGCTCCTGCTGTGATGCCCAGGATACTAACAGTGTAGTAGAAATACACTGCCAGGACAAGACAGTGGGAAAGTCATCAGCAGGCAAGTCCTACCGGGGACACACGTCATGGCCATTCTCTTGATGCCATGTCTGTGTCTTTTTACAGTTTTACGGATGCCTTCATCAAAGAGGCCTCAGCTTTCACTATTTGAAAAAATTCCACTGCCTCCTAGCTTCTGTATCTAGTAATGGAGCTAAGCTCAGAAACCCCTGAGACTAAGGAGGCTGAAAAGAAGAAAGCCCTCCACATAGTCATGTCTGCACAGTTGTTCAAAGTTCAACAAAAACATGAATAGTCTCATACTCATAGCATAACTTGATCAGGTCAAGTGCTAGTAATATGGCACACTGCCACTGAAGAAATGAGACCTGAGAGAGGCTAAGTGTTTATTCAGGGTCACGTGGCTAGTAAAACTGCAGCCCCAGTTTGAAGCTATGTTTTCTGTCATCAAGCAGTTCTTATTCCAGCTCTACCATTTGTAATCACCCCCACCCACTGCTGCCCCTATAGCCAGTTTCAGGGTCTTTAGGTTGCCAAATCCCTGCATCAGCCCAGACCCTCCATCACTGTTAATTCTAGACAATGCTTCAAGATGTCAAAACTGACAACAACAACAAAAAAGAAAACAAAACTGGCAACAGAGCACCCTCACATTGTCTTGCAGACTCAAGAAGTGCCATGTACGGTTTCTAAGTGGAAAGGGGATGCTGGGGATACTACCTCTTCCTCTGCTTAGATGCTCTAGGAGACAGAGACTGAGGCCCTGGGAGGAACTGTTAACAATGTAATTCCTAGGGGGCAGCTGGGAACAATGGATCCTCGGTAGCCACAAAATTTAGTTGTCCTTGGAGACACCATGCATTGTGACAAACTGTCCTGTGATCTTCTGTAGCCAGAAATAATAATTTTGTAAACAGCCTCCTTCTCTCCCTACCCTCCCTCCTACACCCTGTTCTGTCCTTCCTAGAGAAGCCATAAAGCCAGAATCTGTCCATGGACTATTCTGGTATACTCTTTTTGAACTGGGGTTTAGGCCCCAAGTGATCTGCAGCCTTCTGTGCCGATTGAGATCTTCTTCCCCAGTACAATGCCTGACCACCTTTCTACTGGGAAGAAACCCAAGGGAGCCAGAGTCCTGAAATTGCTGGAGGAAAGAAAGAGCTTTGGGTGAAGCAGACCCACTCAGCTGAGGTTCCAAGGAAGTACCTTCATTTGTTTCATGCTGTAGATGTCCCTAGCTCATTGCCTCTGAAAGCACATGTGACCCCATATTGACAGGGGAATTGGGATAAGAATCCAGCCACTCTGGTACCTGTTAAAACACACCTCTGGGCGTGTCAGATAGAAAGCTCAAGTAGTTAAACTATTCCCCTCCCCAGAGAAGGACTGTTAGTGTCCACATCAATGATTAAGCAATACTTTATAGCTTTCCCTAGGAGTGGAGAGAGGTGTTTTCAACATTGGCTCTCAGTTTTGCCAGAAGTAATTCTTCAGCTCTGCTCTGAGGGCTCTTCTGAGTAGCTCCAAAATGAAAGACACAGAACCATGTCATAGTTTCACAGTCATGAAAATGCTGGAATCACAACCAGTTGGTAATTCTGCATTTTCCTTGGGTAACACAAGAAAAGCTGGTAAACTCTAAAGGTGACAAGATGTCCAAACTGAGTCCTCTAGCTAACTTGTTCCTTAAAATCTTGGAGTTTTGAAATTGCCATTTCAAGATTGTCATTCTGTCATTTAAGTCATGATCAAAAGGCTCAGGAACAAAAAAAAAGGCTCAGGAACAGGAGTAAAATATGTCACCACCAGGCTCTTTATTCCACGTTTCTGCCCAAAGTCACAGTATACACCCATAGAAGGGAACCAAAAGGTAGCCAGCACTTCCTTGGCTGTGTAATATCTCCTTGTACTGGCATCTGAGGGTGACCAAGCACAGGCAGTCTGGTCAAACTCTGGATTGAGTAAGGCCTACAGGGACTGCCAAGGCTAGAAAGGGCTTGCAGATCATAGAGCTAGTCATGAAGATTTCACTCTTGGGAGGAGTGGAAAACAAAGTCCACAGTCTCCCTAGGGAATCCAGTCCCTGCTCTGGGTTCATCATGCTTCACCCAAGCTCTCTGGGCCTCAGAGCAGTGAGAAAACACAAGTGCCCCTCCCTTCAAAAACAGAACAATCCTTCCTTGTCTACAGATACACATAACTGCTGCACCTGGCCTGCTTCTAGTAGGTGCCTTTGTGGCAATGGTAACACCATGTAACCTAAGAACATACTCTTCCTACTGCTAAGAGTGTACTGCTGGTACTTGGAAAAACTGCAGTCATGAAATAGGAGATCTCAGTTGTGTTTCTCTGGCATATTTGCTAAGACAGGTGGAAGATCTTACCACAGGTCCAAAGGGAAGACAGTTAACACCTGGTAAACTAGCCACTTCTGCTCTACAACTGTGCCCCTAAGACAGAGCTGCCGAAAAGGATCTACACCTGAGACTTCTCTGAAAAACTTGTCTTCTGAAAAAGGAGTCCTCGTTCGCCACCCTGAAAGAGCTCAGTTGTACCCCTAGGCCTGAAGAGCTTCATGGCCAATATCACCAACTCAAACTTTGAGGGGAAGACGTGAAACCACCTGAAAAGCACATGTGTGGATCCAGAACACAGGCTCTGCTCTCAGCACAATCCACAATTCCAGAAAAAGGTTAGCTAAGGGCAGGTCATGGAAAAGTGGCAACTGTCTCCCTCATTAAAGCAGCCTGAAGGCTGGAGCTGCATAGGGCTCTTCACTCTGACCTGGCTGTCCCTGCCACGGAGAGATGAATTGGTGTTAGAAGGTGCTGGGACCTTGGCATGCCAGGGCCCAGGAAAGAGGGGTTGGGTGGGAAATACAACATGCAACATTTCTTCAATCAGATTCCAAGAACATTTGGTTGTCTTGCATACCTGAAGCAAAAGAGCAAAAACATCTCTGCAGTTAGTTTCTACAGGAGCTGTCTTAATTTCCCCTCTATGTCAAACCAGCCAGGTCTAGCCAAGAAGGCAAGCCCTTCTGTGTCACATGCTGTTCAGTGATCTCTGGTCCTCAGCAGTTTCCCCTTATCTTGTCCTGTGACTGGGCTCAACACACAGCTCCTAAAGCCCCTGATTTAGTGTCAGGAGTCCATGCCTCTCACAGGCAGCCAGACAAATAACTCAAACAGAGACAGTAAAGTTCTCTCACGGGCAGCTGCTTCTCTGTCCCTGTTCTTCCCCCTCAAAGCCCCTGCAGGTGGACTCGGGTCACTCCCCAGCACCCAGCTTAAGAAACTACCAGAAATGACACTCCTGCTTCCCAACCCTAGTGGGTGCTATTCCCAGTGCAATCAGCCTCCTGGGCCACCAGCGACATGGCTGGGAATTGTGGACAGACAGGGGCCACTGTTGTATATGAGACCGCATCTCTTAACAGCCGGCAGCAGCCTGGAGTACTAGCCAGAGACAGAGAACCTGCTTACCCCACAGCCAGGTATAGACTTTGCAGGTGGGAACCAGTGTTATCCCATACAGGGCTCCCACGTGCAGCAGACCCATCAGGATGATGTTTCTCCAGACATACTCCAGCTTGGGCGCAGGACCCTCCTCGTCCTCATAGTTAGGGTCTCGAATGTCATCTTTCATTTCAGGACGGATGTCTTCCTCTGAGTACAGGGACTTTTTCTCCACCTTCTCGCCTCCATTCTGCAGGCCGCCAGAGGGAGGCGCTGTGATGGTGGTGGTGGTCGTGTAGGAGCTGGCGATCTGGAAGGAGAGGAAGGCGGGGCAGAGGTGAGTATAGGGCCCTTTGCTCAGTAGTGTAGCTGGGAGAAGGGGCAATACAGGCACCCCGGTCATGTGAGAATGGAGTGTACCCCAATCTGAAACCGAGGGAAGTTTCCAAAAACTACAGACTGATTAGGAAGCAGATCACAGGGTGAAGGGGCAGAGAGGGTGAAAACAGTTGCACCCTAGCAACACACAAAGGAAACCCCACATATATACATAAATGTACAGCACAACTGAATTTTTACTCACAGTAAAGCTTAGGAAACAAAAATTGGGTAATCAAGGGCCCAAACTGCAATCCACATTCTTACCTGGTGAAGGCAGCATAACTCAGAAAAGATGGCCATGTTCTCTCTGGAACTCTGGACTGTCTCCCTCACCAGTAAGTTACCTAGAAGCTCAAAGGTTACCAGAATGCTCTGGATGTGGGGGCCATCGTGAAAGAAAACATGTGGGAGGTGATTGTTTTGGAGTAAATTCCTTCAACAGGCTTTCATGATGCAAACCAATCCAAACAGAATTACTCATTCTAAATGTCCTATGACCAAGCCGAAGCTTTAAAGCAGCAAATAGTTCCCCAAACAGACAAGGTTTCCATGAAAGCAGAACATTGCGATGTACCACAGTTAGCGTAATAAGGAAGTTCCCTGTCTTTAACTTTTACAAACAATATAATAAAAATAAGCAATAGTAACTTTATGTTAACCAGTCATTTTTTAAAGTGTCCTGCTTCTTTTGTTACGTCACTTATTGCTGTTCTGCTCTTGCACAGTGGGAGCTTTCATTGTGTTCTGCAGAGTGGAGGATTGCCCTGGTTTATGAATTACAAATAATATCCAGTTAGATGGATAACTATATTGGGGTAATTTTGCCTTTGTCAGTCTTGCCAATTACAGAAGGACTTGAAAGACACTGCTGAGGAATGCAGGGGGTCACTTGTGAGATCTCCAGTCTGTCACAGGGAGACTGAAGGATTGTACTTTCCTCACAAGGTGAACTCTGTTCCTTTCTGCATTTGCCCCCACCCCTACCCTTGCATCTTTTTGGCTTTTGAGTTCAGGGTTAGTGAGCTGTGAAAGAGCATTACACCCAGGAGCAGTGGTATAGGCCTATAATCCCAGTCACTCAGAAGGCTAAGGCACTCTCAAGGCCAGCTTGGGCAACTTAGTAAGATTTTGTTGCAAAATAAAGTTTTAAAAGGGGCTGGGACCCCCCAAATTCAAAGACCCGATCCAAAAATGGGCAGCTGAGATGAACACACACTTCTCAGATAAAGAAATACAAATGGCAAATAAATACATGAGAAAATGATCAACACCATTAGTCATTCGAGAAATGCAAATTAAAACAACATTGAGATTTTATCTCACCCCAGTAAGAATGGCTAGCATTAAGAAATCAACCAATAACAAATGCTGGCGAGGCTGTGGAGAAATAGGAACTCTTCTCCACTGCTGGTGGGAATGCAGACTGGCAAAACCACTGTAGAAATCAGTTTGGAGTTTCCTCAGCAAACTAGGACTAGAGGTTCCATTCAACCCAGCTATTCCCCTTCTGGGTATTTTCCCAGAAGATCTAAAAACATCATATCACAGCGATATATATGCACCCATGTTCATAGCAGCACAATTTGTAATTGCTAAATTATGGAAGCATCCCAAATGTCCATCCACTGAGGATTGGATAAAAAAATGGTGGTGCTTTTATGTAATGGAATATTACTCACCTATAAAGAAAGATAAACTCGAGGTTTTTACAGGTAAACAGTCACAACTAGAGACCATACTCATAAGTGAAATAAACCAGACCTCCATGTGTAAGCAAAGTATTGTCTCACTAGTGTAAGAGAACCTGAAAGAGTGAATAAAAATTAGGAGGTATAACAGACATTGTGAAATGAAAGGAAAATGCTCAAAAGTAAAGGGCAACTGGGGTGAGTGAAAAGAGAAAAGAAAAAAGGGGAAATTATGTATGTATGTATATACAGGATAGCTAAAATAGTTGTACTACTGACTTCTATGGCTTTACTGAAAGGAACAGTTAATAATTAATTATTTGATCAATCTTGCATGTCTCTATTTGTTTTCCTGAGAAACTACTTTGAAGATATCAATATGTAATACAGCAGCTATTGTTGATTTCCTACCACTTTGTCTTAACTCTGTATTGCTTATATTGTTCTTATGCTATTTTGTAAATGGATGTCTGTTTGTTAATATGTTTTCCTTCTTTTATTTTTAAAATAAATTTTTTAAAAAGGGGCTGGGAATGTTGCTGAGTGGTATTTATCTAGTATGCATGAGGCCCTGGGTTTATCCCCAGCACCGAATAATTATAATATTAATAACAATAATAATAATAAATAAAAAGCATATGATCTTGGGGCCATGTACCACAGGTGAGTTTGTGCTGTGAAGAAGTATGTGACCTTTGGGGGTTTGCAATGGCTGAGTCACTGGTAAGAGCTGAAGGTGTGGCAGAAATGGGACTGTGTTCTGTAGGACTGTGTGCCCAATCTGAATTGGGCAAAGAGGAACTAGCATTTAATGACAGTTACAGTACCCTGTAAAATAATGGATCTGATAACCAAGCTGGCTACTAAGTGACTAGTACATGGGTAGCATATATAACATGAATATTCTGGACAAAGGGAAACTTCTTGCCGCAGACAGAATATAGTAGGATAGCAAGAGGTTTTTTCACATTACTCAGATTTGTGTATAATTTAAAATTTATAAATTATTTATTTCTGAATTTTTTCATTTAATAGTTTTGGACCACAGGTGACCACTGGTAATTGAAACTGCAGAAAATGAATCCATTTATAAGGGACACTACCATATTGCAAGGATGTGAACTCCAGCTTTTGAAAATTTACAGAGATTTTGTATGCTTTCTCCTTTGTTGCTTTTCCTTGCTCTTATGTAGAGGAAAATCATTGGCCAAATTGGTTAAAAAGACCTAAGGGCCAAAGCCATAGCTTCAGAGTGGACATGGTTTGAGCACCTTAAAGCTATCAGAGGACTCACCGGCTAAAAACACAACCACTGTGGAAGGTAAGCCGGACCTGTTGATCATGAGAAACTGTCCCTGTGACAGACACACTGTTGAGGTGTTACATGACACAGATGTCCTTCAGAGGCTTTTATTCCAGCTTTGAGAAAGCCAAGATTCAATGTAGAAATGGGGGGCTGGGGATTTAGCTCAGCGGCACAGCGCCTCCCTGGCAAGCGCAAGGTCGTGAGTTCGATTCCCGGAACCAGAAAAAAGCAAAAAACAAAAAACAATAAAAACAAGTCAATGTAGAAACGAAACCTTTAATTTCCAAAGTACTGAGTTCTCCACTTTTCAGCTACACCTACCTTTTATATATCTAAGAATTAGACACTGGAAGTTGCAAATATAAAAAGGGCAAAATATTACTAAAGATAATATAGAACTATGATGACCTTTATGTGGAAGATTATATAAGAATAACACTATACTTTAGACATGCATTTGAAAATAGTGACTCTTGGGACTGGAGATGTGGCTCAGTAGCAGAGAATTTGCCAGGCATGATCCCCAGAACAGCAAAAACAAACAAAAATGAAACAAAAAAATTCCCAGACTTTGGACTGGGAATGTAGTTCACGCTTGGCATGCTGGAAGCCCCCAGCACTGAAAAAAAAAAGTCTCCTAAATTGGGCCCACTCAGTGGTGCCTATTGATGTACAATTCTAAAAAGATTGCAAACAAAAAAATTTATTTGCAGGGCCAGGGATTTAGCTCAGCGGCACAGTGCCTGCCTGCTAAGCGTGAGGTCCTGAGTGTGATTCCTGGTACTAAAAAAAATTTATTTGCTTTTTTAAAATCAGTCTTTATTAAAGGGAAATGAAAAGCATAAGTGAGTAATAAGAAAAATTGAATGTACTAAAGTTTTCATTTTGTTACTATCCTACTTTAAGGTGAAAATAAAGTTATTGAAATATTTATAGAAGGTCAAGCAGGTCAAATAACCTACATGGCTTCTTTCTTGGCATGATTCCACTTGCTGCCTACAGCTTTCCTGAGCAGATAGTCTATGTTCCTCTAATGCTGGAAGAATCTCCACTCTGATGGCATCACACATTGTCCTCTTAAGGGCACATTTCTCAGACTCCTAGACCTTCCTTAGAAATCAGGGTGGAATCCTTCATGACTCTACAACCCCTGCCTAAAAAATCTGCACTATGTGGTTGATGCTAAGGTCTGCCACAAGCATGGGCAATAGCCAGGCATCCCATAACTGCAGCAGCCTCTGAGTGCCTGGATAGCTGAGAATAATGAAATAAATCCCAGGGAATCAATTCCTTCGACAGTCTTTCTCTAGCAAGGGGCCCAAAGGCTCTCTTCTCAAGTGAAAGGTTTATACCTTTGCACCTTTGAGACTATAGTGGATATGATTTTGCTGATTTCTGAAATGCTCTTAAGGCATCTTTCTTATTATCTGGATACAAAGTACTTATCTTCCTTGTAATGCTAATCTTTTCAGCAACCAAACTCTTTGCCCCAGCTTCCTTTCTAGTAAAATTGCAAAGTCTGCAAATTATTCAGCTCTGCTATTTACTCCTGATTCTCACTGTAAAACTAGCTTAAAAGCAGCCAGCAGTATCCACGCCACAGCCTAAACATTGGGCTACCTGGCAATTTCCTCTGTGAGATCAATTAGTCCACCACCCTCCACTTCAGTCTCCTGCAAAGTCTCAGGACAAAGGTAAAAAAAACTTTTGTCAGAGTATACACACATGGCTTCTAGTTCAGTTTTCAACTGAGTCTTTGTTCCCAACCAAAACTTCATAAGCCCAGATTTTATAGGCTTCTTTTTTTGTTGTTGTTTTTTGGCTATATAGTTCAGGCTGGCCTTGAATTTACCATGTAGCCCAAGCTGGCCTTGAACTCATGCCAATCCTCCTGCCTCAGCCTCCTGAGTGCTATAATTACAGGTGTGCACCACCACACTCAGCTACTAATCTCCTTCTTATTAGCGTTCTAGTCCTCTGATCTCCGACCAGTACTGTGCATGAAGCTCTGCTTACCACAACTTAAGGATTCTCTATCTTCTTTCTCTACACTTTTC